GCAACAAGAAATGACCCCCCCCGGTCCGGTCCCCGGTCCGGTCCCCGGGGCAACACTCGTTTTCTGCCAGTGGTGTTACATGATGAGTTCATCAAGTACTTGGGGAAGACCACGGCACTCAAGGCTCGAGGCTTTGATCGTTCTGATGCCTTTGGGGCCAAGCTTTCCCAAACCTCCAGTTTCGTGGTTGCTTCCCTTGAGCATCAGCTCTACCCCAAAGGGTTGCCCCTCTGGTTGCCCTGTCTTCCTTTTTTTTTGGGGGGGAGGGGGGTCCGTGAACATCAACTTCACCCAAAAGTCGGGGGGTCACGTTGTTCATGGCGGGAAGTTTGCTGACAGGTCCTCAAGCCCTTGCCATGGGCAACTACTTCTTCAGAGGTCCAGTGGCGAGTCGGAGGGTGCGGCTCCGGAGCATAAAACAAAATTCGCCATCCACCCCACTGCTCTGTGGACAGTACTTCCAGTACTTGGGGATTTTGGACATGACCAGGTGTTGTTTGGTTGAAGTGGCGATTTTAGTCTTGGGTGTTTGTTTTCTTTATGGGTGGACCCAGTGGACTAGCGGCCATGACAAGGTTTGATGCCCAAGCATTCCGAGTAGTGTCCCCCTAGAATTATCGCCATCCTTGTTTGCAGGTACCATGTTTTGGATTATCTAAAGTGAAACCAAAAAAAAACATCCATTTGCAGGGTTCCACATGAGAATGTGACCTTTTCCACCAGACCCAAAAGGACGCCATCTCGGGGGCAATGTCACATCCAGGCGGATGATAAATGATCCTTGTCTTGTGTCACCCAAGATTGACCTACCCACCTAACGTGGAGTGAGTTCCTTCAGCAGACTGGTCTTCAACAGGTTGGTTTCCCAGATCCATGCGGGGTGAATATCTTGAATATCTTGCCAAGACTTCAGCAACCTGAAGCGCAGTCAAAGATGTGTGACTCAAAGAGTGTTGGGAATGGAGATCTGGCTTTGGCGCCCAGAGTATGTTGAGCAAGCAGATGGGGGTGACGCCTGAAAACACGCTCTTCGCAATTGCCTTTGTCAATGGTTGCTTCCAATGTTATCGACTTGCTTTTGTGGCAGTGGTGGCGGGTTTTGAGGGAACACGCATCCCCAGTGTTGAAAGCCACAAAGCACTACTTCAACCAAAATTTGGGTTCCAAAACCACACCTGAAAGCTCATGTAGGTGCGACTTTGTTTCAGGGTACCCCGTTTTTTTGGGGGGGGGTCTTTAAGGGACGGCAGAAGGACAACCACCACACATCCATGTGTTGTGTTGCCTTGTTTTCTCGCGTTGTGCGGGGTGGTTGTTTTCTCTTTGCGCCAAAATGGGCGAGAAGTCCTCGGCCAGACCTGGCGAGCGGCAACGAGAGTACGCTGGAGTACACCTTCGGCTACTTCCGGGATAGCGACGGCCGCCTGAGACGCTCGGCCATCGGGAAGCGCTGGAGTTTTCTTGTTTGACGCTGTTCAAAGGCAATCCTTAATCCCTACCTTGGGTTTTGGAAGGGGTCCCCTTTGTAGTGGTTGTACAATAGGAATTATGGATTAGGATTGGCCAGGGCCAGCACTCCATTTTGAACTGCCCAGTTTGACGCCGGCAGAAGTGGACGGCAGGCAAATTTTGCCCCAGCCTGTTTAGGTGGTTTCTCGAGAAGGTGGACCCTTGTTTGCTTGGAAGGGCCAGTCAGTTTCGGGGTCCCCTATTCTGAGAAGCAAACAGCCAAGCCTTTGGTTGTATAGCATGTCATTGTAGACTCATCCAACGGGAAAGCTTGGTCCTTGCCTCAGTCCACGGCCTTGTCAACCTGTGGAGCAATCAATATGCGAGGCAAAAGCAACACTTTATCCCATGTACGTCACAAGCCAAAGCATAGCCGCTTGCTATTCATGAGGTGGAGGCGGTTCTGAGGGACTCCCTTTTTCAGAGCTACTGTTGGGGTTCTGTTGTAACACAGGTTTCGACACGGCCTTGCACCCATGCCGGCAACGCACTCCGCGTTGCGTTTCGGCCTTGTGTTTTATTGGCCTACCACCAGTTTGTTCAAAATATTTGATTTGCTTGTAGCCAACTTTGGTGAGACATGGGGGACAAATCAAATTTCAGAGGGCGTGGAGCGACAAGAGCAACTACATGTTGTGCTGACTTCCAATTCAGAATTGCATATTTCTCCAAGCAGTGGTCCCCTAAAATGCTCGAATGGCAACGGAGTTCTCTTGGTTTCCCTTAAACACACCAAGAGCGGGTCCGAACTCCAGGCGAGAACCACACGTGACACGGCAAAGGTGTGGCCAAATGCGGCGAATTCAGACCTTTCGGAGACCAAAACCACGGGTGGTTATCGTTTTATTTGGAGCAACCGATGGGAGGACCTCACCCGGAAGGCTTCGAACCCAGAGAGACTCCGAGGAATCAACTTCCACTTCTCCTCGCCGCCGTGCCCGGAAAGACATCGAGGGAGTGGATTTGCTGCTTGACGAGTTTCGATCTGCGCGGGGGTTTTAGGGACACGGCTTTTTTTTGTTGTTTTTTCTCGGCGGGTCAGTTGTTTGTTTTGTTTGGGAGGGGTTTGGCTGCGGAGGGCGAGGGCTTTGATACACTGCCAGGTACCGAAATCACAGCAACAGGACCGGGCCTCAGCTTGTTCGAAACCTTCCCCGTGCTCCAATGGGTGTTTCTCAAAATCCACGGGTCCCTTCCAGGTGGTTGGATTTGTGTTCAGTTCTCCCTGAAAGCCATTCAAACATGGGAGCCCCTTTTTGAGAAACACCCAAATGAAAAGTCTCTCAGCAGGCCCAACAAGTGGCGTGCATTCGGCTTGAAATGTGTGTAGCATGTCGCACAATGTGGAAAGCACATGTCCATCCTATAGCGAGAGAATCGACCGGATCTGACCTTTAGCCAAGTGAGGTGAACCTGATAGGTGGACATTCAAGCAAGATGGTCAAAGCTGGCCGAAGGTGGCGAGTTTTCTTTTGCTTTGTCTGAGAAGCCAAGCAAAATTGGGTTCCCTTGAGACAGACCCAGGTGGTGTAAACCCGCCGACCTCTCCGCCTCTTTCTGAGGACTTTGGTGGATGAGGTGACCACAGAAGAACTGAAGGCTGCCCAGAAGGCGCTTTCTGACTTGCATTTGCTGAAATGGATATGTGTAATTTTCCCTTGGCTCCTTAAAAGATACATTTTGCCCATTTGAAACATTGCCTTTTCCACCAAAATAAAGGGAAACCACCATTTACAAGGCAATGTTCAGGTGTATAATATAAGGATCCCTGTTACAGGGAAACTATCACTACGATTCTGTCCAGGCTTTGCCTCCATGTCCATTACTTGGGGGTTCCGGCTGTACCAGCATGCTTGCATGCTTGTGGCCAACCCTCAGGTATTGCCTTCCCCCCTTGCTTGCTGCCCTGCTGTGCTTTTTGTGAGGCCAGTGCAGAGCTTGTTGGGTTGGTGCCCCTGCTGGCCGAGTCGGCCGCTAAGCTGACAAGGTCTCGTGGCGGGAGGTCGAAAGCTTGATTGGCTTGCTTATTTGGCTCAGCTTTTTGTCTCCGGCCTTGGCTCAGCAGTTTCTATTGCTTGAGTCAGCTGTTGCTGTCCATAAAGCATTTTCAAGCAGTTGTATTGGGCGCGGGTGCGGACTTGGTTGTGTCTGAGGATGTGCGCGCACTGGTTGGCGGCTGGGCAAACTCGGTTATCTCTGATCTGCGAGCGCCGGTGTCAGTGGCCCTGCAAGTGCATAACGGGCATGCCAGGTGTGTGTTTTACAGTTTCAATAGCTGGTGTCTGCAGATGCGGAGAGCGTGCGCGTGGCCCGGTTATTTCTTGCGGTGGTGCAGGTTCAGGCTGGTGCGGTGGTGCTCCTGGCTTTGCGCGCAACAGATGCGCAGTTGGCGCAGGCGCTTGGGTATTACTGTTCCAAGTTTGGGGTGATGCTTCAGTTGTCCCATGCTGCTGGGGAGCGCAACATTCGGGCTGACCAGCTCAGCAGGGCACGGCGCCGTCCGGCTTTCTCGCGTGCAACCAACGAAGCTTGGATTTGGCAGCCTTGCTTGAGGAGCTGAGTAGCTGAGAGCAGTGGGTTGGACCAGCTGCCTCAGCTGCTGTGTCGACCGTGCATGAAAATGAGTGGGAAGGAATGCCTGAGGGTTAGCCATCCAGCTCCTTTCGTTTTTTAGCTTTCTGATGGGATTCCATTTAACCCACTAAAAGCTAAATTTTACGCGGGGGATCTGAGGACAGCCCAGAATAGAGTGTCTCTAGGCCGCATTGGGTATTTCCATTGGCCGGAAGAACAATCGCATTGCGAGAACCTGGTTCTTTGCATCAGAATGTATCTTGAACCAGGACTTGGATGAGAATCTTCAGAGTCAAGTTCTTGCGTTTCCAGTTGTTGTTTTTTATACATTGCACTGTGGCCAGCGCTTGCTCGCCACTCTGTGCAGTCCTATGGGGACACCATCATCGACATCGGCAAGTACTACAAGAAGGGGCCTGCGGGGTGGATGCGCTGTACATCGCAAGTACGGATACCGCGAGACGCGGTAAGTCCCCATGGTTTGTGGCTGATGCACATGCAAGATTAAGGAGCATCCTCCGTGCCCTCCAACATGGGAAACTGACGATCGGACGGCGGGGTCCCGAAACCCACGGAGCCACGGTTGTAAGAAGACTTTGCAACTTACGATCGCACTGCTTCTCTTCCAGTTGCTTAGTACATCTGTTTCTTTTAATCCTTTGGTGGTTTTTAAAGGGGATGTGCTACTGGGCATATGTTTTTCTAGAGGATTTAAGCAAATGGAGGTTGTTCTTCTTGCTCTGTTGTCGCCAGCGTAGCTGATTGCGGCTGTGGCCCAAGCTGCGTCGGTTTGAGAGGTAACGGATGCACTTTGAAGGGCTCTTTGGCAGAATGTTCGATCATTCACCTCGTTCCAAGCATATGCTGTTGCAAATGTGGTCAACTCCAGATATTTTGCAATGAAGCATCGCCCAGCCATGTCCAAGCGAATGGCGCCAGAAGGCTGGGGTACTCAGAGGAAAAAAGAGCTGCTCCGAGAGCTTGGGGGATTGTCAAGTACGTATACCCCACTTCACAAGCACGTATCCCCAATTGTTGGGGCGGTGCCCCTTGCATGTTGCCTTTCTGAGGACGAAAAGGCATCTGGGTGCGTTGTTCATGGAAACCCTGGGAAGCCAAACATGGGGAAATCCGTTTAGAGACCAACCGATCGAACGACGGCAACCCCCCGCGTCTTTTTGTTTTCAGCGTCTGACCCTCAGACACTGAGGCCGGCGGAGCACGCTGGCCGTGGTGTGGCTTTGCGCAGTGCCTTTGGCAGAAGAAAACATCGCGGGGGTCGGGGTTTTCTTCGCCCCAACGCAGGAGGGTATGGTATTCTGCACGCGTACTTGCCATGCATGTGAGACAAATTTCGCCACACGTTGGGTTTTCTGGGAGGGGATTGGGGTTTTGTCTGAAGCATCATCCACTCCTCAATCCAGACTGACTCACTGTTCAGCAATCACCTGATGGCAGCCCATTTCGAGACATGCTCACCCAAACGATTCACAGAATGGCACGATACTCGCGGAACAACACTCTTTCGATGTCTGAGGGGTTTTATAGTATGGTCTTTTTTTGGCGGGTACCCATTTGGGGGTGAAACCAACGTTGGAAAGCCGTAGAGTCTTTGGGGTCTCTTATTTGAAGACGCCTAACATGTTGCTGAATTCACATTGGCTGGTTGCAGGGTCGGGTTTCCAGGTGCCCGGGTTTCACAAAGCCCGGGGCCGAAATGTTGTTCCCATGTATAAAAAAAAATATACAATACAGGTACGTCAACTGCGCTCGCGGTTGAACTGACATGATGTCCTGGACAGTGGAAGCTGCTTCAAGCTACAGAAAGCACTTAAGAGAAGATAAAGGAATCTCCCCGGCAATATGTGTAGAAAGGAGTCGACGCGACGGCCGTGACATGTGTGAAACGACGTTAGCGAAGTGTCGCTGGACTTTAAAGAGCGTCACAGAGGAAATGCTTGAAGGACAGAATCCTTTGCGAAAGCGTCTTGGATCGATTTATTCTGCCCCGAAAAGCTGCTCGGTGTCGTGGCTGCATGTTGCGTATGAAATTCCGATTCCGAAACAGATTCTCCGGGATGTCTCAGGTCCGGTTGCCCTGGGGAAGTTCTAGCTATCATGGGACCATCTGGGTCAGGAAAGACAACTATGCTTGATGTTTTGGCGGATCGAGTAGGAACAGGCTCGATTCGAGGCAAAATTTTGATTAATGGCAAGCTCCGAGATAAACGAATGAATAAACTGGCCAAAGGGAAACGGCTTGTCTCAAAGACCAGGCACTGTGAAAACTGGCAAGCGTTCGTTGGTTTTTTGGGTCCACGTCACTAAAATCGTCCCCAGGCTTCCCAAAGTCCTCATGAAAAGACGGGCAAGGGCCCAAATTGGATGACATTTTTTGGTAGATGGTGGAACAATCTGGAGCCAACCATTGTTTTAATGGTGGTAACTAAATTATGATATTTTTTGAGTAGATAGTGGAACCATATAAACCCGACCATTGTTTTAACAGTGGCCTGCCTGAACCCCAGGGTAGGTTTGTCCTTGTTGCGTGCTTCGCCATCGCCTCATCGATGCCGAGGCGTTGGGCTTCAACTCCTGGGCCTTCTCCGCGCTCTCGCAGCTCTCGCCGAGATCTCCGAGAGGCGATCGAGCGCTCAGAAGCTGGGCAAAGAAATCGGTCGCGTGCGTGTCATTCGCTGGGGGGGACAAATGAACCGGTGCTCTGGGACTTTTTCCACTGTAAAAGTGGGGAGCCATCTTGTGCAGAGTGTGGTTCAGACATCACAAATTTCTCGTGTGTGTCAAGTTTTTTTGGGATTCCTGGTCAGAGATCGACCTGGACCCATTCCAGGTAGGTGCTTTCTTTTTGGCGTGCGTTTAAACCCGGCGAACAACGTTTCCCCTATCTTGAGAACCCCCCAGGCGCTGCTGGGAAGGTTGTCCCAATTATGATTTGCAACGGACATTTTTTTCAGGGTATGACTTTCGTCTGGTCTATCGGTTTTGTAGGTCGATGGGTATCGGCCTAGTGCGGTCCCCTATCGGTTTGTTCTGGTAGAAATGTCAGAAGTTCATATATTTCAGGAGTCACCAAAATTCCACGTGAATATAGTATTTCGTTTATATACCCGTTTACCCCTGAACGCATATTGACCGTGTATCAGCTGGGAATGCTGGAAAGACGAGTTTGGGTCAAAGTGCGCGCCCTGTACGTGGATTTTAATTGAAGTCTCAGCCGAAGAACAACCACTCACAAAACGATGCCCCAACGGCTATCAAGCGGTTTGTCAAGCCACCACCGGCAGGAGCCATGTTTGGAGGTTGTTCTTCCAATTAAGTTTCTATTGCTTGATTCCCCATTCTTTTCAAGCGTCGTTCTTTTAAGAAAGAAGGATCCCTAGAAAGAATGGAAATGGAAGGTACCCCTAAGTTGATGCTCGCCGTCGCCCCCTTCCTTTGAGTTAGGACGTGCGGAGACTCAAACCGTCCATATCGAAGAGGCCACTGACATGGATCCCGACAGACTCTCGGCCACTCGGATCAAGCTGGCGGGGCCGGGTCCGCTCACAGGGCCCGAGGTGCAGCAAAGTCAACCGATAGAAAGGATGGAAGTTTGAAGGACTGAATAAAGGATGAAGGGTTGGGAGAGGGGAGGAGAAGAGAGGAAAGGAAGTCCCAGTAGTGCCCGTTTACCCTTTTTGGGGGGAGGGTTCCCCTGCTAAAGTAGACTACAAACAAAAAGTGCCCTTATTCCAACCTCTCTACTGGAGGACCTAGCAAATCAAGCCTCTTTGAACCCAAAGAGGCTGCTCTTGGCCTTTCGATGGCCTTTGAGACCAAAAGGATGGCTTTGTCGTGACATGCGTGGCGTACCGCGGGAAATGCGGTTTACCCCTTGAGCGTTCCCTTAAAGATACGACCCCTCTCCAAAAAGAAGACAAAGCTGAGCCGTAGGATTCATGTCTTTGCTGCTTGCTGCGGACTTGCCTCTTCCGATCCGCGTGGGGTACTTGCGGGCTTGATTCGCTTGAAACATTCAGGTTTCGTAGAGCAAGCGCGACCCCTTTCAAGGGACTTTTGAGGCCGACATCTCGTCCAGCACCCCCCCCCAAACATGTTTGTCTTTTTTCTAGGGGTAGAAAACCTATTCTTTTCAATCATCGTTCTTTCAACAAACCAACCGTTTTCCCTGGGATTCTGGAGATATTGCAGAAAGAAGGATCCCTGGAAAGAATGGGGACGGTACCGTACCCTTAGATTGTTCCCATGTCCATAACTTGGTACTGCCGTTTAACGCAAAATGTGGTCGGGGCCGCTGGGTGCTGTTCAGTCGATGCTCTATGGAAGCTCAGGCGCAGGATTACCCCCAGCTGCTGTGCCCGTGGCCGCATGTGGTGCATAGGGCCGTGGCTGTGGGCGTGGGTGCAGGTTTTGCGGCGGGGTGTGCATATGTGTGTGTCACGCGTCTGAATGCAGCTGGCAAGGGGGGATCAAGTATAAATCACGTGCAGTATGTGTCCAGACCAATTTTGTTGGTTTAACTTGTGAATCATATCCAAAAGGATCCTTGGATCTCGGTCCGTAGTGCAAACAAGTTGGGTCTGTCCGTATCCTCAAACAGAAGGGGCTCCTTAAAAGAAATGCTCTGATTCTGAGCCATGTGTTTTTGAGCCCCTTCTGGGGTTGGTTTAACGGGACACCAAAAGGACACCGCCCATTTTAAGGTCTATTTTGACACACATCTATCAAACAAATCGATCTTTAGGGAGACTGCCGCACCTGGATCCACCAGAATATTATGGGTCTGTCCAACTTGTTTGCCTGGTGTTCCAGCGGAAACCAAAAGGAAAACCAACAAATCCATGTCGGGGGGTGCCATTCACTTATCAGGTGTGGGCATCCTTTGTCGGCAACGTGCTGTTCGGTTCTTCCTAGATGTGGTTCCTTCGATTGATCATCATGCATACCGCTCTACACTTGTTTGGTTCAAGGGAACAAGGCAACAGCCGATACCCAGACCCTTCAAAAGTACAGACATGTCCGTACATTTCCGAAAAAATCCGAACATGCACTTTTTGCCAAGAATATGTCCGTCTTTACCAGGCGAGTGTTTGCGGTGTTACTGTTGGCGCTTACACTGTGTCTGTGTGCAACATACTATAGGCCCTCAGATTTATTTCCGCGTCATGCCTGATGTCTCGATCTGCTGTGAGGCCACGTGTGTTTGGCTGATCTTCAAGTTTGCAGTTTTCTTAGCTAAGACGCAGAAACTGGAACTGTACGGACAACGGTTGGACATGCAGGAAACCTCCCGGAAAAGCACGGACCACTACGCAAAAAGTACGGAAATCTGGGGCACATTTGCCTGGAGAACTGCGGATGATGTTCTTGGCGGTTCCCAGCCATTCCCCTAGACTTTTAGGTTTTGCGGGTCATGCGGGGATTTCCATTTGACCCGCAAGATCAAACTTTTGCCCAGGTTTGTCCTTGGTCAACTGCGCACATCCAGGTGGCGTTTCTCCGCCTGCTCATGGTTCTTCACTTTTTCTCACGGTCACCCCGCAAGAGGAAAGCAGTTTTTGCCCGAATGCATGGATTTCACGTAAATGCACAACAAGTGCCCTTGGGTGCTCCAGGTATTGGGTGTGCATTCTTAAATTGTGGACTCCCCAAAAGTGTGGTTTCCCCCTTTTAGATTCCCTTTGAAACCACCCCTAGGTCCCCCAGTAGGGCGCTTTTACCCTTTTGTGGGGGAGGGTTCCCCCACTCAAATAGACTACAGAAAAACCAGTTACCCTTGTTCTAACCTCTCTGGAGGACCTAGACCCCAAAAAGGGGGGCCTCCTTACCCCAACCTGCACACGCAACCAATGCTTCGAGGTGCGGAAAGCTGCACATGCTGACGGGCCGCACCAACGTCACAGCGGAGTGCCTCGAGTACAAGGCGCGCCGTGTCGATCGAGTGCCCAACCAATGGCCACTTCTGGTTGGTTAAGTTTTTTTGATTTTCCCCTGTTGATTCTAATAGGGCATCCATCGCTACTGGAAATATTTGTTTTTTTTTTTTTTTTCCAGGGGACTAGCAAATGGAGGGCCACACGTGTCTCTTTTTGGACCAAGAAGACATCATGTTGTGCCGCCCATACAGGTCCCTGACTCAATTTGTCAGAGACATTTTGTGCACCCCGCTGGTGTCAAAACGACCTACCTTCCAAATTGATTGCATCAGGCTTCCCGTGCCCAGAAGGGGTGCAACTTGAATTGAAACCTGTGCCATGTGACTCTTGCTGATTCGGGCTTCTTTGATCGCAAACCCTTTCATTTGGTTGAGAATGTGGCTCACATGAGGGTGATGGCCGGCGCCGGCGGCCTATGTGCCAGCTGCAGGCTGCGAGCCAATGACCAAACCCAGTAAACTGGTTCCCAGCTGTCAACTGGAAATTTTCCAACCACCTCCAAAATCCCATAAAGCAATTTTCAGAGGGCGGTGGTTGCCCTCCAAACTCCCTTAAACTTTCAAGAAGCAGTGGTTGCTATGGACCCGGGTGCTGGGAGCCGGCTTGTTTTTGTTTTCGATGGTCCCTTCAGTTTCATGTGTCGGGTCTTTGGAGCCTCCTTCCACGGCCATTGTGCGGTTCGTGCGATGACGGTGCTTAAGCTCTGAGAACGTGGATGCGGATGTTTTCGGAGCCAAGTGATCCGGGTTTCATCGCCGGGGAGTCGCAAAACAGGCCTAGGTGCCCCGGTAGTGCCCTTTTACCCTTTTGGGGGGGAGGGTTCCCTACTCAAATAGACTACAGAAAAAAGGGTACCCGTGTTCTAACCTCTGTATATACTGGAGGACCTAGAGGCCCTCTGAAACACCCCACCCCACCCCTTCTCCGCTGAAACAGCTGCTGGGTCCCTCACAGAATCGCCAATCTCCGCTTGGCCAATCGAAACTTTCGCCAATGTCCTGTTACCTCCATTTCGCTTGGGTAATCTTGCTGGTGCTCAGCAGGGAACCTGGGGGTCTCGTTAAGGAAACCACCAGCTGGATGGTTTAAATCGGGGTCATTCCCTGCCTATCGCACCAGCCTGTCATGTTGTCACAAAACCCCATGGGACCCATACTAGGTCCCCAGTAGTGCCCGTTTACCCTTTTTTGGCGGAGGGTTCCCCTACTAAAATAGACTGCAGAAACAAAGTGGGTAGCCTTCTTCTAACCTCTCTACCGGAGGACCTAGCATAGGATTCACCGATCCCGAGGTACTGGACGCGCGTGTGGGTACTGAAGTGCAGTTGAAGCTTCCTGTGCTGCAGCAGCTCGGTCGGGCATTTTTGTTTGGGCTTTGGCGCAAGACTTTGGGGCACAGAACACGTGTCTGACCAAGAGCTACTATTTGGTTGGAGCTTTAAACTTGAACTCTTCGGAAGATTTTTGTGTGTGTGTGCGTGTGTTTCTGCCAACCAGCCCAACCAAAAAGCACAATAGCACAACTGACCCAGGCGCCGGGGTTCTAGCAATCCCCTGATTTGTTTATGGAGGGAGACCCCCCAATGAAGCGGCCTTGCAAACCATTTGGTCAAATTTGTGTCACGGAGGAACGAGGGATTTAACCATGAGCGTTGCTTAGGAAAAGGATTTCTTGCTTATTCCTGATTTGAATGCAGGTGATTTGCTCGGATGTATATCTTATAAGGTTTGTGAATTCTAGTGATTTGCCCAGAAAGTGGTGTAAGTCAGGGAATCCCCCACCCACACCCTCCCCTATGTTGAGAGAGGGGCAGAAAGAAATCCCCTAGGCATCGGAAACCACTGTTGGAACACGTAGAAACCGAAGACTGTGTCCCTTTTTGTCAGGTTTGGACATGCCGACATCTGTCGACCTATTCACTGAGATTCTCATGGAGCATAGCACTTCTGGGCGCAATCCGTTGATGGCCAACCGTGGTTCTCGTTGGCTAAGCAAGTATATGTGCTAGGGTCACAAGTCCGGCTCCATGTCAATTGGACTCGCGAGTTTTGCCATGACCTGTGGGCATGGGTCTCCACCATGGATTTCCCGTTGGCTTTTCTTTCAACTCCGACAAGAGAAGAGTAGCCTCAAGAAAGACAGCGATGAAATTCAACAGTGGACCCTCCAGAATGGTTGGCAGACAAATAAATCCCCGCGTGGGTGTGTTTTGTCTTTTTAGATTTTAGGGGAGCCCCCAAGATGGTGGTGTGCTCCAAAAAAGAGACAAAGGACAATGATGTCCACCATAGGGGTAAAAGAACTTGCCACTTTGGCGACAAAGCCCTCCTTCTTGTCCAGCTGCCGCAGGTACTACCAATACGTGCAAGGCAAGGGCCGCATTCTGAGTCTTGGCGCGTAACGGTCAGCAACGACTCATGTATGAAACGAGACACAATGTCTACAATAAAGATGTGCGCACTTTCTTTGAGGATCATGACCTGATTTGATCTCATAAGAAAGGAAGCACCGTTTCTTGGAACAAATGTACACACTTTTGTTTTCTTTAATCATGGCCTGATTTGGTGTTAACCACGCACCGCCCAAAATGCCCAATATCTAATTTGTGAACCAAACAGGCCTCAGAGACGAGCAGCATGTAAGATCCGGATCTGGCTTTCCAACGCGGTGATTGGCAAGAACAAAGGGTCGCTTTCATGGGCTACCCAGGGCCGGAGCCCGTTTTGAAAGCCGCAAATTCGAAGCTCTCAGTCGCCATTTTGGGTGCATCGGAGCGAGTCTGTTTTTTGGGCTTCGGCGAAAAGAATGGAGGGTGGGGGTTCTCAAAGCGATCCCCTGACATCATCGGTTTCTTTTTGGATTCCCTTGAAATGCAAACCAAAAAGGGGGGTCCAACATGTTGACTTGGACTTTTGGAATCTTGCCAGCCAGTTGCAAACAAACATTAGCTTAGCTGTTCAGAGCCGACCTTTGAACACAAGGATCCCGAAAGGAAATGAGCGCCGCCAATGTTTGCCATCGCCTAAAGGTGAAATTGGGCATGTGCGGTCACCAGGAGGAGATGGGATTTACTCACCAACCATCCTGTCAGTGAGGTGCACCTGCTGAATCATGACGGTGGCTTATATATCCATCAGAGGATCCCACGCTGGGCAACTCCCCGGCCCGATCTTCCCATACATGGCGGGAGGGGAGCTTAAATTTCACCATCTTCTTCCACTTGCTTAAGAATAGTTTGTTTGTTTTCCTTTTGGTTTTAAAGGGAGACTCTCTCTATTGGAAATTTGTTTATTGTTTTTCAGGGGGCGAAAACGCAAATGAAAGTCTTCCTGGAAGACTGGGGCGGGACCTCCGGACCTCCCCAAAACGTTGCGACCAGCTCAGGAGAAAGCGAAAGCTGCCAGCCTTCACAGCTACAGCCGAGAGCCTGCAAGCTGCGAAGGACCAGCGGGGACCAGAAATCAGACACCGGGGTTGCAACCTGTTGACACTTCGGGTGGAGGGCTAAGTTCTGTACCAAGGGAACAAACTCCAACTCTTTTAAACAAAATAACTTGTTTTTTGTCTGAACATCCCTTTAAAGTGGGAATGTCATGCAATGTCATGGCCTGGCCGCCCCAGTTTACAGATACTTCAAAAGGTGCTGCTGGCCGAGCCATTGGCCGAGCCTCCATCTGAATCCGGGAGTATCAAGGATTTTGCCGGGCCGGACCGGCTGACAGCTACTGTGACCCTTTTGCAACAGTTTGAAAGGCAACCTGGTTTCACTCACAAAGGCTAAGGCCATGGAGCGCCCGATTGGGTCCATGCTCCTGAATTTCAGACTTTCGATCCTGTTGCCGAAGCCAGTTGTCGAGTGCGCAACCGCCAAAGAAATGAGTGAATTTAAACATTTTCACAAATGCACGCCTGCGCTTGGACATGAAGTACGTAGTACTTGAGCAGCTTGGCGTTGCTGCTCAACAGGGAGTGAGAATTGGAATGACTCCAAACTGAACCATCCCTAGTCTCATGTAAGCCGTTGATTCCCTGGTTCGAACCAGCAAGTTGGGAGAACTGACTGGAACTCGGAGACCTACGCCTTGCCAAGAGCCCATAGCAAGCTCCTGGATCAAATGCACTTCATGAGATCTGGCTCCGCTTTTTCTTTGCAAAGCCTGCTTGGCAGTGGTGCAGGAACCCTGCCATTTGCGACCGAAGGCGCCATGCGTTTGGTTTTGGTCAAGTCAAGCCTGTTTGACTCCAAGCTGCACCGTGACGGAGAAGCATAACTTTGTTCCATCCGCCGAAGCGCGCCGAACACCGGAGCATGCTGTTGCTTCTACCATGTAAGTGTAAGTTCCAGAGGAAGAGGAGGAACACAAGGGGTCTGCTGACAGCTCGGAATCCTTCAAGGGACTTTTTGGGGAAAGGATGCCCTGTCAGGCAACTGGAACATGTTTGGCTCGTGCAGAATTGATTCCTCTATGCCACGCCGCCGCCGAAAAGAGAAGGACACATTCCTTTGGCCATTGCCACATGGGTATGTGTCAAAATAGGTGGAACCCTGAAATGGTGGCTTCTCCATTGATTTCTCTTTGGGTACTTAAAGGGGCGATCGGGTAGCTAGCAAGCAGTTAGATAGCCAGGTTATATGACCCACTCAACGGAGACTTACAGCCAATAGCCTGGCTTACTAGCTTACTAAGCACCCGATCGCCCCTTGCACACGCGTGCGGTGTTTGTTTTTTCCGCTCAGGAGGCGGCGGCCAAGACGGCGTTGGAGTCCCTCTTTCGTCGGCTCAACACCACGGTGACCTCTAGCATCTTGATCTGACAGAGAGCCGCCCATGGTACTTGTCTAGGTCCCCCAGTGGTGCCCTTTTACCCTTTTTTGGGGAAGGGTTCCCCCACTAAAATGGACTACAGAAAAGAAAAGGTTGGTTCCCTTCTCTACTGGAGGACCTAGGTGCCATGGTCAGAAATGGTCATGCCCCTGGTAGTTATGATCCTGAATAACCCTTGCAGCGATTCCCTTCTGAGGGAACCACATACCACAGACGCTTGCCACGATTTGTGGCCTTACAAAAACACAGGCGCAGGGGCGCTTTCAAGTAGTTCGTCTTTCGCATCTTGATTGAGGATCAACCTTTTTCTTAGGATAACCTTGATGAAGCAGGGCAGTAGAACCACCCACCTAATATATGGTAAGGCTTGCTTGTTTTCTGCATCGTTCGGGAAAGTCACGCATTAGTCACGATCGATCTGAGCAGGTCCGCCCCAAGATGGTCTTCATGGCCTTCTTGACCTGGCGCAAACCGACCAAATCAACCTTTTTGGTTTCTCAGTGAGTCTTGGCCCCAAAAGAGTCTTCACGGTCCTATGGTCAAGTGAGAGAGTGTGTAAGAACTGCCACACGGGCTATGTGAATCGATCCAAATGCAGCCCGATTACACCCCATGCTTCTGGTCGGTAACCAAAACCTAGAGCTGGGAGGTCTTGCTTGCCTATGGTACGTGGAAGCTGTAGGACACGTGCCTTTGTAGGCATGCCCAGGCAAATTTGACCCGTCTCTTGCCCATCTCTTGTCGAACCATTGGTACACATGGGACTCTCACATCTCGGCCCAAAACCCTACTCGGGTCTGTGTTTTTGTTGAGGGTCTCCTTTTTTGGGGTTGGTTTCACGGGAAACCACTGTTTTGGGGTCCTCTCATGTTGAGAAACACCAGTGTTGTAGTTGTGGATGGTCCACCCTTCTCTCTCATGGAAGGACACCACCATTTTGGTGTCCTCTCATTTGGAGAACCACCAGACTTGTAGTTATGGATGGTTTTAACCTTGGGGAGGCCAAGGAACTTTTAAAGGGATGGAGTAGACCTGTAGCTACGGATGGTCAAGGAACCAGGAACCTTTCTAGGCAACCATCGTTTTTTTCAAACACCTTTTTTTTCTCCTGGGTGTTAACGCTGGTTTCCTGAAAAGAAGGATCCCTGGAAAGAATGGACATGCAAGGTAGTAGAACCTTGACAGGGATGGAGTGGAAATCACCAGACGTGTAGTTCTGGATCCACCCTTGGACCCAGGAACCATAAGCAACCTTTGAAGGGTCCATGCGGCTTGTAGTTCTGGATCCTTGGGCCAAGAAACCTTTGAAGGGTCGGCCAAGGAATCTATTGACAGGGATGGAGTGGATCGATCCCTGAGGCAACAACCGTGGCTTGGCCAAGCTCATGGCCTCCGTCTTCTCCGATGGCGTGGAGGTGGCAGAGGTCAGCGCCTCGCCCCAAGCTGGGGACAGTACTTACTTTACTTGGTGGCTTCCAGCCATCCGGTTCCTTAGCCGTTTTAGCTTTTTAGCTTTTTATGTGTTTAGTGGCAGTTTGCATTTAGCCCGCTAAAAGTGAAACTTTAAGCGGGGGATCTGAGGGCAGCCCAGTTTAGTATGGCCAATTCTGCTCTAGTATTGCCAAGGCTGGCTTCTTTGGGTCTTGGGAATCATATTTCTCGATTTGGTGTTCAAGTACCCCGCAACCCATTCTGGTTCGGATAGTGTGGGTAGGGTATGGCGCGAAGTCGGGGAACCCCCCCAAAATGGTTGTCTCCCTCTTGGCCTTCTTTCAAACCAACCTGTAGAGGGCACCCTCAAAAGAAAGTCGCAAGCAATGCCCAAACTAGCACCTACCGGAGGTTTGAGACTCGCTTGGGGGTCTTGGCAGCTGTTGCGCCCTTGTAACAATGAAAAGCAGTTTGCAACGGGGGTTGGTGTCCTTTAATTAGCAGTTGCTTACGATCCCCCTTTGCAGCGCTGGGGGGAATTTCCTTTGCCAGATTTGCACACCTTAAGCTTCTCTCAACAATGGGGTGAAAGATGGGGAAGTGTCAGGGTGGAGGGCCTAGTTTCGGGGCTGTCACGGGTGAAGCATGGTTAGCCCCTTTCCGTGTTGGACCGGTTCTAAAACTGGGCAGCATTCTTTCAGCGATTTGGGGGAGATATCAGTCAGAAGCTGGGGTTGTTTGTTTTTGACTGTGGTGAGACAACGAGACCAGCGATGACTGTCCTAACCGATCCAGGCACGCACAGACTAGTTGGGTCCTGGTGTTTTAAGACCAAATTTGACTATATTAAAGGATGCAAATTGCTCCTTAAAGATGAGCTGGAAACATATGCCGCAAGATCCTTTCGTGGCAAACCCATGTGTTCTCCAGTCGTTGCATTGACTAGCTTGCAGTTCATTTGCCATTAGACAGTGACGTCGCAACAACTTGCATTTGCGGCCTGAAGCGTTGATATTGTTTGCTGTTCAACTTAAGGTGTTCTTGTGATTGAGGAAGCAGGTACATGGGTCATTGCTTAGCCATTGCTTGTAGCAACGTGCCAGAGGAGCATGATACAGCGGTCTGAGTTCCTTCCTTGGAAAACGGATGGTTTCAACCCCCTTGTTGTGCTGGTCCCATATTTGTTTCCCTGTAGCAGACGTGATGTGTAAGCCCTGTGGGTTTAACCCATAGAAGAAATACATGTTGTGATTCGTAGGTAGGTTCGGTAAAGAAGTAATTTGGGGGTTGAATTTCTTTCTGGGTGGATCAAGCAGTAGCTCCCCATTTTCTCAACAGGGGCTTGGCAATGTGGAGTTGTTTTCTGAAGTTTTGGTAGGTTGGGTTCGGAGGTAGGTCCGGCAGTTAACGACTTGGGGGTTGAAGTTCTGGGTGAAGGGGGTCGCCATTCGTGTCGTGTGTTTAGGCATGGCTGGTCGGCTCAGCAGACAGTTCGCAGGAGGTAGGCAGTCTTGTAGGTCAAGCGCATTTCACTTCAATCTCCCAACTTGATTGTCGGTCTTCGCCCCCCTGCCACACGCCACCATGCTTAGGGGGCAGGGCGGACACCAATTGTGTGCAATCAGGCCAGTTGATCTCGGTCCCGGCGCCTCATTTGTTGCCAGGCAGGGACCTCGGTCCCGTAGCTACAGGCTGTCTGGTTGACCTCCCGCCGCCTGATTTGTTGCCAAGCAGGCTGGCCGGTCGACCTCGGTCCCAGAGCCTGATTTCTTACCAAACAGGCTGGCCGGTCGACCTTGGTCCCGGCGTTTGCTTTGGCTACAGGCTGGCCGGTTGACCTTGGTCCCAGCGCCTGATTTCTTACCAAACAGGCTGGCCGGTCGACCTTGGTCCCGGCGTTGGCTACAGGCTAGCCGGTTGACCTTGGTCCCAGCGCCTGATTTCTTACCAAACAGGCTGGCCGGTCGACTTTGTCCCGGCGTTGGCTACAGGCTGGCCGGTTGACCTTGGTCCCAGCGCCTGATTTCTTACCAAACAGGCTGGCCGGTCGACCTTGGTCCCGGCGTTGGCTACAGGGTAGCCGGTTGACCTTGGTCCCAGCGCCTGATTTCTTACCAAACAGGCTGGCCGGTCGACCTTGGTCCCGGCGCCGGCGTTGGCTACAGGCTGGCCGGTTGACTTTGGTCCCAGCGCCTGATTTCTTACCAAACAGGCTGGCCGGTCGACCTTGGTCCCGGCGTTGGCTACAGGCTAGCCGGTTGACCTTGGTCCCAGCGCCTGATTTCTTACCAAACAGGCTGGCCGGTCGACCTTGGTCCCGGCGTTTGCTTTGGCTACAGGCTGGCCGGTTGACCCAGTCCTTCATGTTATAAGTTTGTCAGGACTTAAGGGGTTATGGTTCAGGATTTGCCACCAGTTGTCCTGTGGCCAAATTCTTCAATTTCCTTTACAGATGCTTGTTTTTCTCCTGTTTTCAAGGGAATCGATGACTTCTCGCCAAAATTATCTCATGTTTCTTGGGGACGTATCCGCAAATGGACGAATCTTACCACACACGAAAGACATGTCGGCCCGCCCAGGGTTTGAGGCCGACTACAACAACACCGATCGAAGCCCAGGACGGCCGGCGTGGCAATGGAAAGCTCATTTGCCGATCGGCGAATTTTTCTCGCGGTTTTCACCAGGCACATTTCTCAACTGCTTGGTTTGGGATGTAAAGATTAAAGATCACCTTTTGACCCCTTGGTCGCCGGAAAGGCGGGGTAATGTTAGGTGTTTTTCTTCAATGGCAAGGGTTTGGTTTTAGTTTTGCCTTGAACACCTAAAGAGTGATCTACCAAAAATAGAAACTCTCAGTTGTTCAAAACCGACCTTTTGACCTTTTGGTTTTCCCCTTTTGGTCCATTTTTAGTGGAGGTCCCAAAAGGTTAACCTTTTATGTCCAGGTCCTTTGGGCAAGTGAGAACTTCTCAGGGACGGAGCCGTCCCAGTTAAAACCGTGCCAGATACAAGCCGCGTCTTTGACACCAACAGACTTTGATTGTGGGAGCTAGGTCCCGGCATTTTACCATTTAACCCACCCCGAATCCATTTGCCTGTATAGTAGGCAACCAAGGGCTCGCCACCCTTTAAAAGTAAGAGGGAAAACATCGTTAATTACCTACTGTGGTAACTTGAGCCCACCAAGAAACCATTTGGGGGTGACTTTGATGATAGAGTAACCGGGCCCATGGCTTGACCAAAGTGGTAATTTGGGGGTACTTTGGTATGGGCTAAGCCAAGGTCGTTTTTTGTGAGGAACCCACCTTCGAACGTGCGAGGAAACATCCTCTACAGCCTGGCCTATCTCTCTCGGGAGTCCGAGCCAGAGGACTCGGCGCTTGAGCCGTGAGCGTTTTTTTCCAGTCGCAACGCCAACGCCTTTCCCTGCAAATCGTCCGGTTCCTTAGGTGTTTAATGCTTTGGTGGTTTTTCCCAGTTGTTTTAGTTGTTGTTTGTTGCGCTTTGTTGTTTTTAGTTCGTTTTTATTTGGTGTAGTGGTTGGGTGTGCGTTTAGCCCACTAAAGGTTAGTCACTTTTAGCAGGGGATCTGAGGACAGCCAAGAATCGAAACAGTTGGTTTTTTGAGGGGCCCGCTATTTTCAGATTTCGTCCCAGCCGTCGTTTTTGCTCAAGAACCAGCTGTTGTTGTGCGGATCGACTGGGGATCTGTGGCAGACGCACTACGCTCGCCCCAATTTTTTGGAGGTATGTAAGATGAGAGGAAGACTTGCCTCATTGACATAAGCCTATTTGTCATTTCCGGGCACTCACCTTCCACGCGGCAAAGTGGTTAGAGAGTCAGAGGGATGGGAAGTTAATGTTGGCATCACAAGGAGGATTTATTGGCCACAGCAATGAGGGTGTCCAGATTGTTTCGTTCCTTGTTCATTTGAGGGGGCAGCTTCCTGTTTTTGTGCGGCCACTCTAAGGGAAGGTTAAACAGAGTTGGTTGTTGGGTTTTAGGGCAGGTTACCCTGTCAGGGATAGTGTTTGACAGCCGTTGGCCAGGTTCTTTTAGGCAAGCACGGTCTATGATGCACATGCGGTTTGACTTCTTGACCATGGCCAAGAAGTCAACCCTTTGTGGTGGACCAATTTAAGTCACCCATCAGTGGCCCAGAAGGGCTGAAGCCGTGGATTTTGGCTCTGCTTTGATGCGTGTTGATAACTCAGGCGGATCCAAAAGAAAGTTGTGGATTGCCTTTTGGAAATTGATGTGCAACCCAGTTTTTTCTTGAAGGGACCTCCTGTCAGGTGCAGTGTTAATGTTGGTGGGAGGGAAGGTACATGTGTACATGTTCTTTGTACTCCGTGATTGTTTTTTTCACATGGGTGTTTCTCAAATTGGAGACCCTTGGTAGGTGATGCCATCCTTAAACACGAGGGTCCGACTCCTTAAACGTCAGGAGGCCTCGGAGAACTTCACGAAGCGGGTGCTGACGACCTCGCGGGCCATCAAGCTGGGCAGCTGGCCCTGGACCCACCAGGTGGCGGTGCAGCACAAGCAGAGCGCCGCGGCCGGCGAACTTGTCACGTCGCCGAGTTTCGGAGCCGGTTCCCGTTCCCACGGTGTGGCGTTTTTGTTTGTTTGTGTGTGTGTGTGTTTCCTCTTCTTCTTTTCCTCTGCTGGTGCAAGGTCGTTGCGGATGTTCTTGTGTTTTTTGTTGTTGTTTTCTTGTTTTGCGCCGGTGCAAGGTCGTTGCGGATTCACTTGGGTGTGTGTTTAATTTTTCTGGGGGGGACGCCCCCAAACTATGTGGCTTCCTTTTGGTTTCCCTTTAACACCACACCAGCAAATAACCGATTGGGAAACAGCGTTTTGTTAATGTGGAGAATCTTGCCAGAGGGTTCAAGTATTTCTGGAAGATGGGTCCAAGTACCTCTTTAGGTACTTGGACCTCGTAGTTGGACACCTGTTTTGGGGCGTCGATTCTTGCGCAGACAAATGGTGTTCCTGAGTATACTATTTTGGACGGAGGGTTCAGGCTTCAAGCTCTTGAATCATGGAGGCAAATAAACAAGTGGGACTTTCTCAGACATCCCGTAGAAACCGGTTGCAGGAATGTCACTTGCCTTTTCGCCATCCCCTTGAACAGCAAGGGTTGGTGGATGACCTGGGCTAAGAGACCATCCACGCAAATGAGGCAAGAATACCTTGTGGTTTCGAGTGTTTAGCAGAACCTTTGCTCGCTGGTGGCCCACCTACGTCCAACCCAAACACAAATTTCCTTGTTCTACCCGGGTCGCTGGGCGGCCGTTGTTTGTGTGTTAGCAGCGGAATGAGGATTGGATAAAAGAAGATGTGACAACAATAGGATCACGACAAAGTAACGATTAGGTAAGGAGGACTCAGCCGTATCTTCTGTGACAGAAGTGCAACTTCCCTGCATATGGCTATTTCTGAAGGGTTCCAAAGCTCTCCCTTGGCCAAAAACAGATGCAGCCAAGAGACAGGGTGATTCTTGTTCACTTCCTGAAAACTGGTTTTCACCTCTTCCCTTGGTAGCTTGTTTGGTATTCGAAGCACTTGCCAGCCGAACCAAGCTGCATCGGCCAGGCCGGAACGCGAGCAGCCGCACCAAAAACTTAAAAGCTTGGTTGCGCGACTGATAGTCACCTATTTAAGCTAGGCTATTTGAGAACTTGGCTCCCAGCCATCCAGTTCCTTAGCCTTTCAGCTTTTTTAGCGTTTAGTGGTGGTCTCCATTTAACCCACTAAAAGTTAACCGTTTAGCGGGGGATCTGAGGGCAGCCCAGAGAACATGCCATGCTTCGAATGTGACTACGCTTGATCCTTAAGTAGGGCTCGGAGCAAGCTCATTTTCTGGCAGTAGAGCCTGTGTAAGAGGCTTTGCAAGAAAGTTGGCGGACCCATTGCAAGACCCGGCAATGCGCAAAGCCTCCCTCTATTTCCATGTCTCATTTGTACTCCAACTTGGAACCCTGATGCATGTTCCCAGGGTTGCCAAATAGTTGACCCGATTGCTTCGGGTCTGATCCCCAGCCGCAAGTGCGGAGTTTAGCAGCCTACCAGTCAGCCTTGGTTTTGAGACCAATGGTAGGATGATATTGGACAAATGGTACGATGGCCTCCTGTGGACTTAGTTTTGAGATGGGACCAACATCATATCAGCTCCTGACGGGTAAAACCTGGAGCCACAAGGATGATGTTGGAGCGAGAAAGGGATGGATAGAGAGATGGCTTCCTCTCGGTCATTTCTTCCCTCATCCAGCATATTCCATCCCTTTGCCTGTCTCGCTCTTCTTCCTCTGTTGAATCCCAAGATTGACTATGCAAAGGAGTTTGGACCAATGATAAGATGTGCACAACCTCGCGGCCCGGACGGCGATCGCTTCCTAGTTTTCAGGGCCTAGCTCGACGAAGGATTGAGCCCCTTAGATGCACGTCAACGTGATAGTTGGGGAGACGGTGGCCAGCCTCACATCACCCCGAAAAGGAATAGACGAGCTACAGGAGAATGCCTATATACAACTTGACCACGTCCTAGATTTCTACAAGCAGCTGCAAGTTAAGGGAAGTTGATAGATTCTTGCTGCCATGGCATCACTTCAAGAATGCTACCCGAATTTTATCGCACATGAACTCTGGGTATTTCATGGATGCCAGGTGAGTCAGTTAACTTGAAACGAGTAACTGACGGCTTCTGACTCCGCTCCCCTCAGGACTGGTCATGCCGAAGAACGTGAGCGTGTTCAAGGTGGCGGTGAAAACGCCCCCGGATGATCTCTCCAAGCGGATCTATGAGGACGCAACCCAATCTCATTCGCCATTTTGTAGGTGGTTCTTCTTTTTGGCCTGCTTGGGATTGTGACAAGGCCTTTATTATTCGTACCATGTTAGTATAACCAAAGTCCAGTCTTGGTGGTCATTTAAAGGGAAGCCAAAGGAAACCGTTGCCGATGTAGGCATTGTACCAATTCCTTTTTCGAAACACACAGGTTGCACTGGGATGTTTCTCAACATCAGGGGCTATTGTTTCAGTTTCAGGTGGCAACCATTTCCTATTTTGAGATCTGTTCCACCAGTTTTGTAAAAAGTTTTAGGAGCCTTTTCCCACCAAACAAGGGATTCTCCTGTTGGATTGTTCTACCGTGGCCTCAAAAAACCTGATTTCACCTCCAAAAAAAAA